TTCTGATGAGTGAAAACAAACCAGTCTCGGAAGGTTGCATATTATATGAGTCTATTTACAGAACACTCTGAAAATGACAAAATTATAGGGATGAGAAAGGGCCAATCCAGCAGGACAATGAATGGGTGGTGTGAGGGAGACCTCTGTGTGGAGGAATAGTTCTGTACCTTGATTGCAGTGGTGGCTCCACTAATCTAAACATGTGAGAAAATGAGACAGAGTTCCACGCACAGCTGTACCCAAACTCAGGTTCCTGGTTTTGATTCTGTACTATAATTGTGTAAGATGAAACCAGGGGAAGAAACTAAAGGATACACTAGACCTCTCTGTACTATCTTTGCAACTACAACTGAATCTATAATTGTTTCGAAATTAAAAGTTAAAAATAAATACAGCCAGTAGCAGAGCATCTGGGATTCCAGCCCACACCACATCCTTCCACTCCCCAAATCCCAGGGTTCCAATCAAATGACTTACAATTGGGCATGCACCATGATGTTGCATATTTCCATGCCTTTGCACATACAAATTCCTACCTACACTGCCCTTCCCCTGCCTAGCTAACATATAATTTCCTTTAAGCCCCAGTTTCACCTCCTGAAAGATCCCCTGAACTTCGCATCCTAAGATTCTTGTTTTTGTTTTTTCTTCCCGGGCACAGCACTATTCAACTGAATTGTAATTGCTAATGTGTTACTGTTTCCCACCAAAAGCAAGTCACAGAATTAGAAAATAGATTTGCAAAGTCTCCAATTAAAAAAACTGGTCTGCAGAATATATAAAGAACTTTTATGATCCAACCATAAGAAGACAGTTCAATTTCATTTAATGAACAAAAGATCTGAATAGACATTTCACCAAAGGAAATATGCAGATGCTAAATAAGCACATGAAAAAATAGTCAACATCATTAATCTTCAAAGAAATGCACATAAAACCATGAGATATTGTTAGGGGAAGCACACTGATTGAAACCTCCCACCCTGGCCAGGCACCATAGTAATCATTTGCATGAGTTGTTTTATGACAGGAGATCCTGATAAGGAATACAGAACTAATAAGCCACCACCAACAGGAAGAGTTCGGGAAAGGTTGAAAGGAGACATCACGTGTCCATCCACTTCCCAGAATCCCTCTCGCTAGCATCCATCATGGCTGAGTGATGCGTGCACCACCAGGAAAGACTGAATTAGAATGACTGGCCAAAGACCACCCGGAAACTAATCCCATCACCATAAAACCTGAGACTGTGAGCAGTTCAGGGTACCCTTACCCTCCTGCTCTCCACCCGGGTGCCCTTTCCAATAAAATCTCTTGCTTTGTCAGCACATGTGTCTCCCCGGACAATTCATTTCTGAGTGTTAGACAAGACCCCAGTTTTGGGCCCTGGAAGGGGTCCTCCTTCCTGCAACAATATCACCACCAACCTTTTAGAATAACTAAAATTAAAAAGACTGACCACACCAAGTATTGACAAAGTGGAGACTTGGAACGTCCATACATTGCTCGTGGGCATATAAACTAGTACAACTAATTTAGAAAAATTTGGCAGCTCCTTAAGCTAAACATACACCTACCATATGATCCAGACATATTACTCCTAGGTATTTACCCAAAAAGAATGCATAAACCTCGACAAAACTTGTTTCATAAATGCTTATAGTGGCTTTTTTCCCCAAAACAACTGGTTATTGAAATATAGTTGATTTACAATGTTGTATTAGTTTCAAGTGTACAGCAAAGTGATTCAGTTATGCACACATATCTTCTTCTTCAGATTCTTTTCCATTATAGGTTATTACAATATATTGAATGTAGGTCCTTATTGTTTATCTATTATATATATAGTAGTTTGTATCTGCTAATCTCAAATTCCTATTTAATCCCTGCCTACACCCTTTTCCCTTTGGTAACCATAAGTTTGTTTCCTAAGTCTGTGAATCTATTTTGTAAATGAGTTCATTTGTATCATTTTTGGGGGGATATCATATGATATTTCTTTCTCTGCTTGACTTATTTCACTTAGTATGATAATCTCCAGATCCATCCATGTCACTGCAAATATATTGGCTTTAAAAGCCAAAAATTGATAACAACCCCAAAACTCTGTCAACAGAGGAATGGATAAATAAATCTTGGTATTTCCATACCCTGGGACACTATTCAGCAATAAAGGAATGAACTACTGATGCACAAATACAGATGAATATCAAAATAATTATGCTGAGTGTAAGATGAAAATATGCTGTATTATGCAATTTATGTAAAGTTCTAGAAAATGCAAACCATTCTACAGCAATAAAGCAGATTAGTGGTTGCCTAGAGATGGGAGGCAGAACACAGAGGAAGCAGAAGGGAAGGATTAGGTGAAGGAAGAAACTTGGGAGGATAACGGTTATGTTCATTGATTTGTGTTGAAAATTTCATAAGTTTATGCATATGTCAAAACTCACTAAGTTTTGCGACTTAAATATATGCAGGTTTTTGTCTCTCAATTATATCTCAATAAAGTTGCATGGGAAAAAAGTTGTGGTTATCATCTAATAAGCAGCTACCTTGTGGGCAGAACATTATAAAAATAATCATTAATCTGGGCTTCCCTGGTAGCTCAGTGGAAAAGAATCTGCCTGCAATGCAGGAGACCCAGGTTCCATCCCTGGGTTGGGAAGATCCCTTGGAGAAGGAAATGGCAACCCCCTCCAGTCTTCTTGCCTGGGAAAACCCATGGACAGAGGAGTTTGGTGGACTACAGTCCGTGGGATCTCAGAGGAATCAGACATGACATAGAGACTAAGTAAGCAAAAGGGGGAAAAATATATAATTATTAACCTTCACTCAGGGTAGGTATTATTCAGCCCAGGTTACAAATGAGGAAACTGAGTCAGAAAGACAAGGTAATCATGCAGCTTTACTGTGAAGCCTGGCTCAAGCCCAAATCAAGTGTCTCCAAAGCGGAAGCACGGCACCTGACGCCACCATGAGCTCAATCAACGCCCTTCTCTACCCTTCCAAGCGTATACATGTACCTTTAAAGGTCCTCAGATAATATCTTCTCAGCTTGTTTCACTGACCTAGAAAGCCAAGCTCCTGATGAAGGAAGAGGACTTAACTCCAAGCGTACCAGAAGGGCATGTCAGACCCAGAGGAGGGGCTAGGGGGTGGGGGAGGCAGGGCTGGCACCTGGAGGACACCGCCTGTGCCCTTGCCAGGTGCAGAGGAGGCTCGGCGAGCACATGGCCTCGGGAGCGGTACCCTGTCCCCAGCGGTATCCCTCCCTCCCCTGGAGCACACAGCTTCTCAGCAACTACAACTGCTAACCGCAGCTGTGGGACCAGGCTTCTCAAAATGAAGAGTGTGGGACCAGATGATCTCTACAGTCCTTTCCACTTTTGTAATTTTCCAAACTACAGTTCTACACAGTCCCCTGATGCCCTGCCTTCTTTCTCCCCATCCCCTCTTGCAGGCTACTTAAAGGAGGTGGCGAAAAGGAGCCAGAAGGTTCAGAAAGCGAGGGAGAGGGCAGAGGTTGGGGTTCCATTATGCTAATTTAATTAGTTCTAATCTGCCGACAGCAGGGCCTGGAAGAAAGAGCTTTTGTTTAAATTTCACATTTGGCAGGAAGTGCCCCTGCTCCTCTCTAACCCCAACCCCCCATCCTCCCCCCATCAGAGCTTGTGAGTCCAAAGCTCTGATTTCAACCCTGGCTCTCACATCCAGCAGCGCCCGGGCTTCCTTTTCACACTTCTCTTGATTTCTTGATTTTTCCAGGAAGGAAATCTCCCCCAGATGTCGGTCCATAAATGCAGAGCTTTCATCGGCCCTTATGAAAGGGTGTCAGTAATTCACAGATTTCCCCCGAAGCAAGAGCCAAACGGAGAAGTGCCAGCCAGTTTGTCTGCATCAATAAACCAAAGGCTTACCAATCAATTAAAGCCCCTCCCCTCCACAAGCAGAAAAATTTACAACATGCAAAACACTGCATTTTCACTCTTAACGGGACTCACTTTATGGGATAATAAGAACAGAAACTCATTCATTTATTCAATTAATGATTATAGAGCACTTAGAGTTCACAGGGGAGGAAGCGGAGGGACACACAAGCGAAGTGACCTGTCCGGTGCCTCCCAGCGTGGGGGGCAGGAGTGGGGGCGGGGGAGGCCCATCAGACTCTCCAAAGCAAAACATCCCTGGTTTGCAGCCCTGGCTAATTTCAGTGGTGTCAGTTTTCCCACTATAGCCCATTTCAAGTCGCCAACAATTTTTAACAACCAATTTGCAAAATTCCTGAATATTTAAAATCAGCTCAGGATAGCCTCCAGAAGAGAGGTGAGTTCTCATAGCTCCTGAGTATTCCCTCTTGCCTCTCCCTCTCTGCCTCCAGGCAGGAAGAGCCAACATGCGCTGGAGGCCTAAAGAGTAATTTTAATGAAAACTACCTGAAGGTCCGTTAACAGGGGTAAGATTTCAGGCGTGTTTTCTTTTCTTCCTCGTCATTATTTCTCCATTTTACTTTTATAATCAGAATATATCTAGGTAATTTAAGTCATTTTTTAGTAAGCTTAGTGGACTGTTTTGCAATAACCTCCCCAGGTAATTTCTGTCACTATATTCCTTGGGGGGAGTGAGAAAGTTGTTTCCTAAAAACTCCACTTCCCCAGCAGAACAGAGCTGGTGCACCAATGTTAAGCATTCCCTGAGCTTGGTGCAGTCTTACCTGAAGGATAAATTCATTCCCTTGGGAGTTCAAATTTCACCCGCAATTGAGAAAACACAACTTTCTGTTAAGAGTCCAGAAGACCTGCCCTAAAAAATCAAAACCTCTTAGGCCACCAAATGACCTTGCCCCTGATTGGGCTGAAACAGAAGCTGATGGTTTGAACCAGAAATAAGTGGCCTTTATCTCCTGAGCTTGAGAGGATGACGTGTCCAACAGCCCACCCCAGCACCGCAAGAGGCATTTTACCTTCTTGGTGCCCAGGCTAGGATTCGAGGGCTCTTACCTCAGCGATGGGACACAGGCCTTGCCCTGGGCTTGGGCAGGCTCACGTGGGCCAGTTCATCTCAGCTGCAGTCTACTTCACTGCTTCTCTCTGGGCTGCTCCCTGCAGATCTCAGCACAATTCACTCTACACTGCCTGCAGGAAGGGAAAAAAAAAAAAAACAAAGCCAAGTTAGTGGCTGAGCATCAGAGGCACACATGTTAACACACACAGGAGGAGAAACACCCTTGCTCCTCCCGCCCCCGATCACTCGGGCCACTTCAGAGCCCCTTCCAGAACTCCAGCCTCCTTCTCAGGGTTCAACCTGGCCATCTGTTCACCCAGACCTACCCCTTCTGGAGCTGAGCAATTTCAGAGTGAGCTGCAGATTAAGCAAAGCAAACTCTTCTACAATCACTTAATCCTCATGCTACTTGCTATTATTGGTAAGAAAAGCAAGAGTAAGAAAGCATTAGTTCTGGCCCTGAGTCTTATGTTTAGCTAAGGTTTGTGGACAACCAAGTTCCATCAACAAATACATCCAACTGGCTCACAGTCTCCCTTTGACCTATAGCAAATTCTTTATGATGTTACAAATGTGAATTCAATTCCTAAACTTATTGGGGAACATTTTTAAGTGAATCTAAAGTTTCAACCTGTATGTTATTATTGTGTCTGGGTGGATAGTGTTTGTTTTTTAAAGTAACTGTTGTTTTTCTTAATGCCAAAGAAATGTATGTTTAATCTTGAAATTTTAGAAGCTATAGCTGTCAAAAGAAGGGGAAAAAGTTACCCTCTCGTCTCCAGCCAAGATAACTACAGATAACACACCCTTCCTGATTTTGTTATCTGGATTTTTTACAAAGATCCAATAAAGTCATGGTTTAGCAATCATATTAAAAGTATATGCCTCTGTACCCAAAAGCTGAACAATTAAGTCATCTTCAACTCTTTTTTTTGCAAATTACAGATTTGTTGTTGTTCAGTTGATCAGTCATGTCCGACTCTTTGTGACCCCATGGACTGCAGCACACCAGGCCTTCCTGTCCTTCACCAACTCCCAGAGTATACTCAAACTCAAACTCCCAGAGTATGTCCATTGAGTCGGTGATGCCATCCAACCATCTCATCCTCTGTCATCCCCTTCTCCTCCTGCCTTCAATCTTTCCCAGCATCAGGGTCTTTTCCAATGAGTCAGCTCTTCACATTAGGTAGCCAAAGTATTGGAGCTTCAGCTTCAGCATCAGTCCTGCCAATGAATATTCAGGGTTGATTTCCTTTAGGATTAACTGGTTTGATCTTGTAGTCCAAGGGACTCTCAAGAGTCTTCTTCAACACCACAGCTCAAAAGCATCAATTCTTCAGCGTTCATCCTTCCTTATGGTCCAACTCTTACATCCATACATGACCGCTGGAAAAACCATAGCTTTGACTATATTGACCTTTGTCAGCAAAGTAATGTCTCTGCTTTTTAATATGCTGTCTAGTTTTGTCATAGCTTTTCTTCCAAGGAGCAAGCGTATTTTGTGGCTGTAGTCACCATCTGCAGTGATTTTGAAGCCCAGGAAAATGAAGTCTGTCACTGTTTCCATTGTTTCCCATCTGTTTGCCATGAAGTGATGCCATGATCTTCATTTTTTTAATTTTTTGAGTTTTAAGCCACCTTTTTCACTCTCCTCTTTCACCTTCATCAAGAGGCTCTTTAGTTCCTCTTTCCTTTCAGTCATAAGGGTGGTATCATCTGCATATCTGAGGTTATTGATATTTCTCCCTACAATCTTGATTCCAGCTTGTGCTTCATCCAGTCCAGCATTTCACACAATGTACTTGACATAGAAGTTAAATAAGCAGGGTGACAATATACAGCTTTGACATACTCCTTTCCCAATTTTGAACCAGTCTGTTGTTCCATGTCCGGTTCTAACTGTTGCTTCTTGATCTGCATACAGGTTTCTCAGGAGGCACATAAGGTGGCCTGGTATTCCCATCTCCTTAAAACTATGGGGGAAATCCACAGTTATTTCCATAAGACATAGTCTTAGAAGTCAAACTGCAGGGTCGAAGAGCTTCCAAATTTCTCAGGCTTTTGAACAGTCTTGGCAGGCTCTCTTCAGAACTATTATACCACACGAACTCCCAGGAGTGAACTCTGCCCATTCCTCTAACACTCCTCTCCTACCCCAGTCCCTCCCTCACCCACATTCTTGCTCATCACATGTAACATTTCTAGTGGTAAGAAGTGTAGAGTTTGGGGCACCCAGGTTTTTCACATTTCATATTCACACTCAGCTCAGGCCAAGGCTAAAACAAGAACCAGGATGAGAAAATGAGTTCACCTAATCAAGCTTTGGGGAGGGGGGAGATACATGAATAAGAATTGGTAAAGAGGGAAAAAATGAAAAATCCAGTGAAGAGAGGAATGGTAGTACACAAGGATATTGTCCAGAAGAGACCCTGAGATGCTAAGAGAAATAAGAGGAAGCACAGATGGAAGCACAGATGCTGGGAACTGACATCAGATGAAACTGAAGTTGAAGTGAGGCCATTTGAGGGGGTGCAAATGTCAAAATCTCACAAAGATTCATGACAGAACAGAGCAAACAACAAAGGAATCAGGCAAGATAGAAAAACAAAAAATCACTTGTGGCATCTGTGCACTTTGCTGCTGTCTATAATTAATACCAACAAAACACCAAGAGCCAGAGTCACAGTGAGGAAAGTGAGCCAAGCCAGGAAGAGTTACTGCCTGCAAACACAGCCGAGCTGCTGGCTATCTGGGAGCCTGCCAATAAGGAACCTTCTCCAGGAAAGAGGAGCGAAGTGCCCCCAGGGCCAGAGAACCATGGAACTGCTTACCCACCTGCCTAATTTACATGAAGGAGGCCCCTACTCTCCACCTCTCTCTGGCCACCCTCTTATAACTTGTCTTTTGCTCTAGGCTGAACCTTCCATGATAAATGGTTAATACCCCAAGTAATCTGTCTAAAGAGACTGAATGAGTTTCTGTGTCCCTGTGACCCAGCCAAAGACCAACCCTGCTGTCTTTCCACCCCATGCACCGTGCACTCTGGCCACAGCATTCTGCAGACTAGTGAGGAAATGTGAGGTCCCTTTATTGTTTTTTAAATCCTTTGGAAGATGGCTTGCAGACCTCCCATGTTACTCAAATAGGCAAGTCATTCTATCTGCCTACCCTACTGCTACCCACTTACAACACTTGGGCCTCTGCTTATGGACAAAGGGTAGAACTTTGACTTTAAAGCAACTCACTATACTATGGAGCAAAGATAAGTCTCTTCAACAAGTGACACTGGGGATGTTGGACAGCCACATTGATATAAATCAATGAAGTTAGACACACCCTCACACCATACACAAAAATAAACTCAAAATGGCTTAAAGACTTAAATGCAAGACATGACACTATAAAACTCCTAGAAGAGAACACAAGCAAAACATTCTCTGATATACACAGTACCAGTGTTTTCTGAGGTCAGTCTTCCAAAGCAACAGGAAAAAAAAAAAGCAAAGAGAAACATATGGGACCTAATCAAACTTATATACTTTTGTACAGCAAAGAAAACCATAAATGAAAGGAAAAAAACAACCTTCAGGCTGGGAGAAAAGATTTGCTAATGATGTGACCAACAAGGGCTTAATTTCCAAAATATACAAACAGTTCATACAACTCAATAACAAAGCAAAATAAAAAAACAAACACACAACCCAATTGAAGAGGCAGAAGACCTAAATAGACATTTCTCTAAAGAAGATATACAGGTGGCCAATGGGCACATGAAAAGATGTTCAACATTGCTAATTATTAGAGAAATGCAAATCAAAACTACAATGAGGTATCATCTACACCAGTCAAAATGGCCATCATCAAAAAGTCCACAAATAACGAATGCTGGAGAGGCTGTGGAAGAAAGGGAGCCCTCCTGCACTGTGGGTGGGTGGGAATGTTACTGAGTCCAAGCTCATGCTGCTCACCACAGGACAGGCCAATCAATCAAGAGATAAGTTGTTGTGGCAAAGAATAACAACTTCATTCAGAAAGCTAGCAGACAGAGAAGATGGTAGACTCCTGTCCCAAAGAACCATCTTGCCTGAGTTAGAATTTAGGCTTCTTTTACACTAAAAGGGGAGAGAGTAAAGTCAACCATTTCCTGGTCACTTCTGGATCCCAGTCAGCCTCCAGAGGGAATGTGTTCATTTCTTCCTTCCTGAAGTCATTCACAGATGGGCCTCGTCAGAATGTATCCTATGAGCTAGACAAAAGTATTTTAGCCTAAGACTCATTATCTGGGAGGCAAGGTTCCCTGAGATGAGCCATTGTGCATAATTTAAGCCTATAGGCAACATCCCTTTAATAACTAACTTGTAATGGAATACAAAGGTTCTTCCCTATTACAGGAATGTAAACTGGTGGAGCCACTATGGAAAGAAGTATGAAGGTTCCTTGAAAATCTACAAGTAGAGTTACCATATAATCCAGCAATCCCATTCCTAGTCATATATCTAATTTGAAAAAATATAGGCACCCCAGTGTTCAAAACAACACTATGTTACTCAGCCATCAAAAAGAATGAAATAATGCCATCTGTAGCAACATGGATAGACCCAGAGGTTATCATACCAAGTAAAGTAAGTCAGACAGAGAAAGACAAATATCACATGATATCACTTACATGTGGTATCTAAAAACATGATACAAATGAACTTATTTACAAAAAAGAGAAAGACTCACAGACACAAAGGCGAACATTGTTAACAAAGAGGAAAAAGGGGTGAGGGAGGGAGGGATAAATTAGGAGTTTGGGATTGGCAGACACAAATTACTATAAATAAAATGGATAAATAACAAGGTCCTACTGTGTACCACTGAAGACTATATTCAGTATCCTCTAAGAAACCATAATGGAAAAGAATATGAAAAAGGAAAAAATATATATATGAATCACTTTGCAATACACCAGAAACAACACAAAATCGTAAATCAACTATATGCCAATATAAATTAATTAATTAATAAATAAAAGCAACTCTCCCATAAACAAGGGAGTTGGATCAATCAGATGCTTTCAACATTGCAACTATGAAAAAAGACTACAGTCAGTTGGTGGTAGACTCAGAGCTTAAAGGAAAGGTAGTGA